AGTTGCTTTTCACCACAATCAGGTCAGCATTTGTTAATTTTTGATTTGTAGATCGATATGCTTTCTGGTGTAACTTGGAATCTTAGGGTTGTTTTAATTTGCTTTTCTTTAATGGCCAAGAATGTTTAACATTTTTTTCACATATTTGTTCACAATTTGCATTTCTTCCTCTGAGAATTGTCTATTCATTTCACTTGCACATTTCTTGATTTGGTCCTTTAGGTTAGGTGGCTTAAGTTTTTGGATTTATTTATACATTCTAGATATTATTCCTCTGAGGAACAGTTTACAAAATTTTCCCACTGTGTAAGTTTTCTCTTTATTCTAATTGATTTCTTTGCTGTGTAGAGCTTTTTAATTTGCTATAGTCCCATTTGTTCGTTCTTGCTGCTATTTCTTGTGAAATCCTTTCCTACATATATAAATTCAAGTGTTTCACCTATTTTATCTCCCCAAAGGCTTAAGGTTTTTTCTTTTTAGATCTTTGACCAATTTTGATTTTAGTTTGATACATGGTGAGAGGTATAGGTCCAGTTTTCTTGTTTTGTTTTTGTTTTTGTTTTTGTTTTTGTTTTTTGGGTTTTTTTCTGGTACCAGGAATCAAACTCACAACATCGCACTTGCCAGGCAGGCTGTGTGCTGCTAAGCTAAATCCCCAGCCCCTAGGTCCAGTTTCAATCTTCTGCAAACAGATGTGCAGTTTTCCTGGTACCATTTATTCAATAGACTATTTTTTCTCCCATATATGCTTTTGGTCTCTTTGTCAAAATTAAAGACTGAATGTATCTGGTGATGTTTCTGTACCCTCTATTCTGTTCCACAGAGGCACATAACTACTTTTGTCTCAGTACTGTGCCTGTTTTTTTTATTTTTTTGTTTTAAAAATAAAAGGAGGAAAATACTAGTAGACAGACAACCTTTTACAAAATAGCAAAAGAACAGTACAGACAATACAGAGTTACAAACAAAGTGGTAGAAAATTAACAATTCTTTTTTTTATTTCAAAGAGTAAAAGAAGGATAACAATAATGGGGGGGCTTACCAAATTACAGACACAGTGGTAGGAAATTATCAATGGTTATTGTTTTACATATTGTTATCTACAAGATAGTTTCTCAGGAAAACAAATAGACAGATAACAGTGAGTTACAGACAAAAGAGGTAGGAGATTATCAGTAGTTGTACTCTACCTAGGTATCTTCAAAAGAAAATAAATAGAACTATACATGAGTGACCTATTGAATAATCATTAACTATTCTCAATGGTTGTTGTAGGAAACACATAATAATAAACATGCATCCATTTATGAAAAGGATAGGAACAATACAAACATTGCAGAGTTATGGATAGATTAGTGGGAAAATATCAATGACTGCTCTAATACATGTTGGTATCTTAGAAGTGGTTTCTCAGGAAGACAGAGATATGCAAGAAGGATCTAACAAGTAGTTACAGCCTAAGGGTTGTCAAAAATCAAGTGAGCCATCTGGGGCCAAAGCCATTTTTTGTAGCGTTTTCTCTCCAGCCTCCCATCGCATTGGGTCCCCACAATCAGTTAGTGTCCTCTCCCCAAATGTCAGCACAGGCAGAAGGAATCCCGCTGTAGACTTCTCCAGAGCTCCACCACAGCCTGTACTGTCAGGGGAAGAATGGCTTCCAGGAAGTCTCTGCAGGTACTGTGCAAGGTCCTCCTGGTTTACAGCTTCCAAGCAGCTCTCATGACCCCAGTCCACAGGATCTCTGACTCCGTGGGCTTAGTCTGCATTCTCATGTTCTCTGAGTCCTTGTTCAGCAGCTGCTCCTCTGCTGACTCTAGACCTTTCTGGTTCTCAATGGCAGGAGCAAGAATGGCCCATTGTACAGCATGTATTCCCAGGAGTTTTTCCATGTTTGAATGATTCACACACGTCCTTAGGTGGGCATCTGCAGCCAGTGCATGGTGGGCCAAATGTGTCATTGTTTCTCTGTGTCATGATAGTTCTCAACTGAGCAGCGCGGCTGGCCTGAAGGCTGGCGCGCCACAGCGCTCTCGGCTGCATGGCTCCCCGTGCGCCGGGGGCCCTTCCTTCGGGGGCCTATGAGGCAGGAAGTGAGCCGGCAGGAAGACTGACGCTCCCCACCCATGGCTCCCCGTGTGCCGGGGGCCCTCCCTCCAGGGGCTTACAAGGCAGGAAGTGAGCCATCGGAAGACAGGTGCTGCCCGCCCCAACAATTCTTCTTGTATTACATATTGATATCTTCAAAGTGGTTTCTTATGAAAACAGATATAGACATGCAATGCTGATCAATCAAGGACTCATTGACAGTTTCTTTCATCAAAGAAACAGAAGACAGTAGAACAACTATGGTAACTATCCTGTACATACATACATACAAAATTTCTCCTTCTTTCCGTTCTCTTTTCCCACATCCCAGATGTCCGTTACCCTTGAGTGTTTTCCCATCATTTCACAATGTCTATTAAACCTCCTAGTTTAAATTAACTTTTTCAGAATTAATTTAAACTAGGAGATATGATAGACATTGTAAATTGATAGGAAAGCACTCAAAGGTAAAGGAAAACTGGGATATGGGAAAAGAGAAGGCAAAGAAAGAGAAAGTTTGTATGTATGTATATGCAGGATAGTTAACACAGCTGTTCTACTGTC